GTAATCCTCACAGGACAGCCATGTATCTTATTACAAGAGGAACAGCGGTGGTATTCAGAGCAATGTCAACAGTCACAAGCAATTAGGAGCTCAGATGCTGAAAGAGAAAGACTTAGACTGCTTAGTGCTGAACAAACACTTAACGTCTCACAGTGAATGGGAGGAGAGTGAGAGATGAGATAGATGTCTGCTCAGTGATTCCTCAACCATCAGCTGGACAAACACTGATGCAGACCTCGGATAAACAAAGCCTTCCTTTGCCTCCACAAGAACATTCTAGGAACTACGCTGCTTGCCACGGTTTTACTTAAACTGGTTTGGACAACGATGAAAATAAAACGACAAGACATTCAGGTCACACCAACCCAATTAGACTGACAAAGTGACACGGATAGTTCCCCAGAAAACCGTGTGTCAGATGTTTTAGCTTTGAAAGAATTACATCCTGACCTGCAGTTTAGATAATAGCTCTACTTGGTGCAACAGTTTCTCAACCTTTTTGCAATAAGGTCATTGAAAAAGGAAACATCTGTTTAAAAATCCCTGCAAAAAAAACACAGGTAATCACACCTGATTTTAGCTGATTCTGTCCAGCGCTTTGGTAAGATACAAAATTAGAGATTTGTAAATAGACTTTTTTTATCTTATTGGAACCTCAAGAAACAGAAAGATGCAACCTGGTAATATAGAGCATTTGTTCATTGTTTAAATAAAAAAAAATGTACCTATTCTTTAAGATTATAGATACAACTTTTTTCTTAAAAACAACACATTTTTATTAAATAATGCATAGAGGTGCAAAATAAGTGTTAACTTTCCTGAAAAGAATAGACTACCCTCGAAAAAGAGATTTTATCTCAAGGGACTTCCTGGTAAAATAAAGGTAAAATAAAAAATAAATAAAATTATTAAATAAATTTTAAAAGGTCGAAAAGATATTAATGTTTACTTCTGGTTACAACATCAAAACCAAATGATTGCACCACTAGGAATAGTACAGTGAGTTAAAGTCCTGTAAGTTATGCCAAATCATATACCCCATTTACACTACCCTTGAAAAACCGTGCAGAGACCGGTCCGAGATCAGTAACTGAGATAACTTAACGTGTGTAAATGGAAAGCAAACCGAAGCCGAGCTAGACACAACCGAACCGAGATAACTGCAGACCAGTTCTAGAGGTGGGCTCGGCTCGGTTTTTCCCTGGCTCGGTTCTCTGATAACAAGAACGCATGAGCAGAACGCGTCATCGCCATCTGGCTGCACATCCCTATTCACTCTCCATTCCAGTAGTTGGCGGTAATGCCCCTCCGGAAGTTGCTTGCCAACCAACACAAAACAGAAGAAGAAGAACAACTATAAACAATTATAAACATCCACGAAAGGTTGCCGTCTTCCCCTGACCCTCCGCAAACACAGTAGAGCAAGCATAACTTTCTGAATGTGACGGCCGCCACCACTTTGATTTTCTTGATTCCCTCCTTCTTCGTCTTCTTCTTCTTGTGTTTTATGGCGGTTGGCAAACAACTTTTGATCATTACCGCCACCAACTGCTTGATTTCCTCCTTTTTCGTCTTCTTCTTCTTGTGTTTTATGGCAGTTGGCAAACAACTTTTGGTCATTACCGCCACCAACTGCTTGATTTCCTCCTTCAATACTGGCAGTAATAACGCAGATTGTCACTAGGAGGCGAGGAGTCAAGGAATTGAGATAGCATGATGATGTAAACGGTCATCAGAACCAAGCTCGGCCTGGTTAACTGATCCGAGCTCGGATTGGTCTCTGCATGGATCGGTTCTTCAAGGGTAGTATAAATGGGGTAATAGTAGCTCAGTGACACAGCCGAGAAATGGCTTCTTTCCTGTTTTACACTAGAATGGTTAACATCTGCCGATCTTGATGCTAACCTAAAGACACAAAATGACTCGGAGGCAATGTGGAGGGTTTTTAAACATATAAGTTAAATGTTTGATACTGCCAACCAAAGATTAGAATTAGCATTAGCAGACCTGGCAACCAGCTGTCAAACAGTACGGAATGAGGGTGAGCGAACACAACTGCGCCACTTAATGGCCAAGGGGAGTTAAAGTTGTAGCTTTTTTAAGCTGTGTATCGACATTTCTAAGTGTTTCTGATTTTATTGGACATAAATTTGATTAGATACAGTTTAAACATGAATCAAACAATAATCTTAAAAGACACCTCATGTTCATTAATGGGTAAGAGGGCAAATATGTGATGCTTTGGGCTAGATTCCAAAATCCCAGAAAATCTTTTATGGGTAGATGGTGTTATAAACTCTAAAATTACTCCATTTCATATGGGTGTTTATTTTTTTAGTGTTATTTAAATAAGCTTGTGACACATATTAGCAATAAGTGTCATACATTCTAATTCTAAACATCTAATAACACTTCAACCTGCAAATACCAAATCATCGACTAAAACAGAGACCAAATTGTTAGCATCTCAAGATAATTAAGTTAAACTCAACTATCCTTTGAACTTCTATTTTGCGGCGTGGAGGGAGAGGAATCAAGTCAGAATAAATTAACAAAGCAATTAACTTAATTACCTTTTTCCAATTATAACCCCATTGTTGTCACAGATCAATCATAAAAGTGGAGATCAGCTTAAAGAAGTAGCTCTCAAAGTTTAATTGAGAAAATGTAAAAATCCCTTTAATCGTGTCTAATGAAAATTAATAGGAACACTGTGCCTCAGTAATGTCAGTTTCTTCCTGCCAGTATGTTCTGCAGAGTCACATGACATCAAATGGTTTTCTTCTACTCTCTGCCATCCCTAAAGAAGGGTGTTAAGTTTCCCTCAACAGAAAGAGTGAAGAAATTGAAATGGTTACTTCAGAGATTATTCATATTTGAATTCTGTATTTTATGTCATTCTACAATGAAAAAAGTTTTATTTATTTTACAGGTCATAGTCCGACACAAAGCAGAGCATCGTAGTATAGTGGAAGGAAAACAATAACTTTCTTTTCAAAATAAAAGCCTGGTGTGTATTTCTCATAGAAACACACACAGTTGTATTTCCTGTAATCTTTTTGAGGTAAATACTTGGTATAAAATTTTAAAGGAACAAATTACTAGATTAAAAAAAACTAAAAGGTTATGAAATCATTGCTTACTTCAATGTCAGATTATTTTTTCTAGATTTGAACTGGGCTGTATTAACATATAATTGTCGCCATTGTTGCTCAGGCTGTTTGTGTCCTGCTTGAAGGTGAACCTCCATCCCTGTTTTAACTCTTCTGCAGCCTCAAACAATTTTTCCTTTGGGATTAGCTCCAATCTGTCTCCTACATGGTTTGGAGCAATTAAGGTTCTCGAAACCTTCCATCAACAAAACCTTTCTTCTTGCTGCTTCTCAGTAAAGACTAATCACTCTATCATCCTGCTCTATCTGAGCTGTGGATGTCTGCAGCCTCTCCAAAGTCACCAAGGACCCCTTAGGTTCCTCTCTGGTCTCCATGCCATCTTGTTCACCAGCATCCATCTATGTTCTGTTTTTCCCTCATTGCTCCAATTCCTCATAAATTGAGCAATGGTCTCTAAGATAATTTTAAAGCTTGGGATCATACCCCAATTAAAAGTTTATGTTTAGGTTTCTTAGGTACTCTTGTTTGAGTAAGTCCTTATTCTTCTGAGGAAAATTATTTTTACATAACTCCTAAAGCAGCCATTAAATGTACGAGGCTTTGCCATTTTTGGACCAATTCTCCAGTCTTGGGAGAATTTTTTGGATCAGATTCCGTTTCAGTCTCATTGTGCGTCCTGCGTCGTGTAGTATACACGGGGTAACGAGCGCCGACCAGCCTCTCACGACCACCTCTCGATGAGGAATAGTAAGGTCGGGAGAAAATGAAACATGTTTCAAATTCAGTCTGTCCTCATAATTTCTTTGTAGGGTAATCCTACTGTTGAAGCACAGCTATAAGGGTATTTCAGCTGATGTACCCGAACCTCATGCACTGTGCTTGTGCAAACGAGGGAGTTGTTCTTCTTCCTCTATTCCAGGTTGACAAGTCTGACCAGCACCATATCTTGGCCCTAGGTCAGACATGTGGGCTTTGGACGTACAGTGTGAGCCGGTAGATCACATCAGAGTGTCAGGCCTTACAGTGGAAGAACATGGATCGTAAGCGGTGAACTTTTAAACCCTGCGATTTCATCATACAGTTTGAGCTGTAGCTGAGTATAGCGAGTCAAAATATTTTACAGTGGATGCCCGACTTTAGTACAAGATATTTGGATCCATCTTAGTTCAAACCTACTAATTAAATGTACTGACAAGTATTGACAAGTGTTAAACAAACTGTAGCTAAAATAGGTTAGAAAATAAATAAAAGGCCTTTCGAAGTAGGCTGTTAGACAACTTCAGTTCACCAAAAGGTGCTGCTCAAGTCCTCAACAGAACCAGGAAATACAACCATATTAGTCCAGTGCTCTGGTCTCTGCACTGGCTTCCTGTGGCTCAAAGAATATACTTTAAAACAGCTGTACTTGTGTACAAGTCTTCTCATGGTTTAGCACCAACGTACATCTCTGACATATTAGAGCCGTATAGACCACCTCAGGCCTTAAGATCCTAAGGGAGGGGTCTCCTTGGTAGTCCCTAGAGTCATCACTAAAAATGGTGAAGCTGCATCCAGTTTAAAAATATGCCTATATAGTGTTGCCCATTGCATTTGATTGTATTTTAACAAATTTTAACTTATAATATGCATTTTTATATATTTGTATTGATTGATTTGTTTTATTGCGTTTGCATTACTGGTGTTGCTGTGATGCACATTAAGTTGCCTTGTGCATGAAATGTGCTGTATAAATAAAGTTGCCTTGCCTATTTTAAACTCATCTCTGATTGACAGTCATCCAACTTGATGTTAAAGGAAAATTAATTCAGAATGTGAGGATAAACAATAAATGGATTAGAGGTCAGTTCTCTTTATCATACTGTAGTGTGGTCCTAAAGAGAAACTCACCCGGGCCTGGTCGAAGCCGAAGGATCTCTGATGTTCGTCTGGCTCCTGCTTGGCCTGTTGGAACTCATGCCTCAGCCGCTGTATCCGGTCATGGTTACTGGGAGCCATCTGACTGCTGGGAGACAGGTTAAAAAGACATTACAACAAGACACGGAGGCTGCTTTTAAAAATCCAGTTGGCTACAAAGGCATTTAAATGCAATTTTTCACTGAGCCCTCACTGAGGTAACACCTGGAACATTAGTCTAACTAGCATGTTGTTCCAGGTGCTTTTTCAGATTTAAATAATTCACTTGACCATAGTGACTTAGTCCCTTCTAGGACACTTTGAAGATCTTTTGATCTGACAGACATGATTTGTGCTTACATATTTGAGTGGTGCTTTTCTTCCAAACTTCGTGTTTGAACCATTACTGCCAAACACGCGCATAACTGAGGAACTCCCTAATGCAACATTGTGCGGGATGCATGTATTCATTCGGAATGCTGAAGAATGTTGGCCTTTCATAGTACGCAGTCATTAAACACCGTGGAAAACCCTAATTTACATCTCCTTCATTAAAAGCCTTTGAGGGGCCTGTCAATAGGAATCAATAGCGCTCCCTCAGCTTAATCAGTCTCTCCTTTTATCATCAGCTACAGAGGCAGCACATGACAAAACACATAATTATGATGAAACAACCAGCTTGATAATAAGCCTGTATTTATGCAAACCACGTGGGAGAAAGTGACCAAAGGTTAGGAATTTGTGCTGGGAGGTGATGGGAGCCCTGAGATGGATTGGAGTGGATGGTGTAGGTCAGGCAAGGACGAAGAGATAAAAGTACAAGGGATGTTCATCGGGGGGGTGCTGAGCGGAAAAGTTAAAGGTCAAGCAACAGCATGTGGGAAGGGGAAAGCACAAAGCGAAGCAAGATAGAGGTAACTCTAAAAGCCACTCAGGTCGATGCCATGGAGGAAAAGATCCATGAAATGGACACAAAGGCATGAACATTTTTAAAATGCATCATTGACACAAGGGCCAGTGGCAGCATCTTCCTGGGCGACTCACACAGGTGTCCCACAAGCTCTGGAAGTGATTGCTTACTTAGACTCTGAGGATTTCGAGCGCAATTATGCCGATAATTGCAGATTAGAATGAGCGCATCCCTCTGATGATAATGGGCACTAGGACACACTGCCAATCAAGCTTCATTAAAAGCACAATAAATAGAAGCTTCTAAATGATGCATGGATCTTGGCGCATCCTTTTTAGTAGCACTAGGGGAGACTTAGTTATCATGTTATTCATACTGCCTGATCACGATCAATTGTATTAGTTATACTCCATTTGATTCCTATGAGTTTAAATGTGAGGGAGCACAGGGAGGGAACATTAGGCCTTTTATGTGGACGAGGGCAATTAGGTGGCTCACTGGGGTGTGAGGTAGCTTATGCTTTTATGGTGTGGGATGATGGTGAAGGCCTTTTATTACTGTTCATTACTAAATCAATGTTCCCTCTCTGTTTATTTGAGGTGGCTTAAATAGCAAAAGCAATAATAAAGGATGTCATTAATTGAATCAAAGAGCCACACCTCAAAATGTTCCTTCTTCCCCTAAACTGTCATATTAGTTTGTCTTACATTTAATTACTATAATGTTGGATTCACATAAATATCTCATACCTTTCTGTAAGCATATCTTTTAGCTGTAATATCAGTTCAACCTTATCTATAAAAAGCCAATCTCAATGTTTTTGTTAATGCAACATCACGTTCTGTCAAATTAGAACATATTTATATGACAAACCAATATAGGGTTGTGTATGACGGTGAAGGGGCGAATAAATTATAGCCTACAAGTTTTTTTTTTTTTCTTTTTTGGAAAATAAACATCTAAAAAACAAATATTTGTGTTTGCATTCCCACAGCATGATGCAGCCAACACCAAATGTAGGCCAAAATGTTTTGAAGGTTTTAGGTCTCATCTACCCAGAGAACCTTGTTTTTATATTTGTGACTGTGCTATGTTCTCAAGATGTTTTATGGAAAAATAAAAACTGGGCATTTTTTTGGGCTTTCCTCAATAAGGGCTACAGTAGATTTGGTTTTTACATAAATAACAGCCTGCAACACGTCAATATAACTAAGTATTTTTTTTCTTAAAGTGAGTGTTATTTTCCTTTATTTGAGCAGGTAAGCGAGTTTAAAATATCTATTTTAATGGAAGAAATATATATTCCATTGGAAGATCCTTTTATTCTTCAGCTCCAGTTAAGGACAAATACTCGTAACATATAAAATACGCTTTTTAAGTCTTACTCCAGTTTTTGCAGTGCATCTTCTCCTACGAGAGCTTTAAATTTGTACACTACACAACGTATGATCAGGCAGAAAGTTGGCCCAATTGAAAAATTCTCTCACGGCTCGAGAATTGGCCCAAAAACGGCACAGTGTATGCCTGGCTTAAGACTCGTGTGAACTATCTGCTCTGTTCCTTTGTTTGATTGCCAATGTTCTTGAACATACCTTTGAGGGAATAACAGACAGTTGGACTTTCTTTACCAATTAAATTATATCTGAAGGCAACAGTTTAAAAACAGATTTTATTGAGCTATTTTTGATGTTCTAAGTCATAAATTCTTAATAAAATTAATGGAGCCTAAGCTGAAGTTCAATTGAAGAAACTCATTAGTTAGCCTTATCCATCTTCATCACAGGCAAATCAGCTTCAAACCACACCTCCACTAAAGCCAATCAGCATCCAGAGTTTATCTTAAAAGATTCTCCAATTCCACATGTCAGTCTTCTACACAAGTGCAGGCAGTGGTTGCGCTATTTCAGACTTTGCCTCAGATGACCCTGATTCAACCCTTCTCCCTTCCTTTCTCCATCATCGTAACTACAGCTTCATCAGAGTGTCATTCCTCTCAAACTCTTACTTTCCACTGTCCCATCTGAACCGATCTGGCAGACGACCGCCATATTGAGCCCGGTTCTGCCAGAGGTTTCCTCTCCACTGTCACTTAATGCTTGCTCATCATGGACAGGTTCATGGAACCTCTGTTATCCAAGCTGGGCTTCCATCTTCAGATCCCCTAGTCTGCTGGATCTCTCCATACATCTATCTCCACTCCACACCAGTTTCAGGCCTGGAGGGAAACATCCATGTTCATGCATACCAAAGCAAAATTCAGCGATAATGTTTCCTGCTGAGTTCGGAGTACCAAAGGCCAAAGTAGTTGTGTCGATAAAAATTCTTCTAATTGTCTTTTCTTTCTGTGTGAGTTTTTCAGATTGAAATCCAGGTTAGCTGTTAAATTCCTAATAATTCCTAATAAAATGAATCCAATTTAGCAGTTATATCTTAAAAAATAAAAAATAAAATATTCAAGACATATGAATGAGTTTAAAAGGTAGTGTATAAAGAAAATGGGCTCTCCTTTACATGTTCAGATATAGCAACAAACCTAATAAACGTCTTTTCCTGCTATTTCTGAGTAGACACTGTGTATTCTGTTACACAGTGTTCAACCATGTCTGCTTGTTAAAGGAGAGCCTTGACAAGACAGGAGGAGGTGGGAAAATTCCAAGCACAGACCTGTGAAGTCTACTGCATGCAATTAATTTAATCCCTACTGCTGGTCAAAGAGAAGGCCAGGCTTATTCCAAACAAACAGCCTCATAAAAAAAAACTCTGTTTGACCTTTAAGTAGAGGTCTGTGTTACAATCAGCATCTTAAGCATTTGCTGTTGGTTCACACAAACCATCTGGACAGCCAGATATTGCATGCATAAACAAGACTACTGTTGTTTATGTGCACACAGTATAAAGGACCGTCTTCATTTCTTAGAAGCAGTCAGTCTAAGAAAGAGCAATGGTCTATAAATACACACAGGTACTTCATTGTGTGATGGATGATGTGCTGGGATGAAGAATGTGAAAAGACGAGTGAAGACAAGTCCTAAAGCTAATTAAAAAATGAAATGGAATCATCCTGTTTCCATATATTTTCCTAAAGTGCTACAAGTGGAAACTGCACTGAGAAAAGGTTAAGACTTATCGGAGGGTAAAACTACAATGACAGTTCAAAGGAAGTCTGGGGAGTATCAAGCTGCTCTAAAGGGGCCCTTGTTCTTGGTCCTGCACCCCACACAGCTGTGTCCAGATGTTGCTTTTCTAGAAAGACTTCCATGCTTTCTGAAGGTAATATGGTTTAAACTACATCTCAAAATTGAGCAAAAGCACCAATTAAGAATGCAACGTGCCTGCTTTGACAAACAGCAAGCAGCTGGCACCGCTCTGTAGATTAAGAAGATGGATTTAGTTGACTTCACTGTAACTCTTGCAGCTCGAGCACTTCAAATGGTAATTAGTCAGCATGATTGTCGCCGATGCATCAAGGTGTCACGGCTAAATTTACCCCTGAATGCATCAGTGTCTGTAACAAGCCTGAAAAAGTGCTACGAGTGAAGATCGACGTAGAAAACTGGGCACTCCCATCTGGAGGCAACCTAACACACTGGCTGAATGTGTCAGTCAGTATTAGAGAACATACATGAGCAATCCTCATTAGCTTGCTCTAAACTGGCTCCAAGGAAAAGGTCACTGGTAATTTGTACACAGAGGGGCTGTTTACAGAATGCTTATCATAATCTTTAGAGTGAAATTTAAATGCATATCAGTAAAGGAATGAGATACTTCCCATACAATCTTTTTTTTATAAAACAGGAAAAAATGAAAACATATGGCGTACATAAGAAAATAAAGAGATTTTATTTTTTATGATTAAAATTGCTGTAAAAAGCAGAATATTTTGGTGTTCTACCTCAAGAAACAAAAAAAAGGTCAATAACTATGAAGGAGCTGCAAAGATCTCATGAAGATCACACCAACTTTGACATTTGCCCTCCACAAAGCTTGAAGATTAGAAATAAGAAACACCTGGGAGAGGGTGCTGTGGTCGAATGAGATCACCTTTAAATATGGTCAAGACTAAGGGATGCTTTCCTGCAGCGAGAACATGCAATTTGGTTTGGAGTGATGGAGGGAATAAAGCTCAGGGAAAGTTGACTGAAAATAAAACCGCCAGAGCTACAGTTGTTCAAAACAATTCATATATATCTGTTCAAATG